CCATCCCCACCCACAACCAGCTCCTCATCCTCCTCCCGTGCGAGGGCTACCCAGCAGCTCCTAGTCCCCCGCACTGTCTGTTCCGTGTGTCAGACCATAGTGCGTCGGAACGTGACCTCAGTCAGATGCAATTTCTGCTCTGGCTGGTGTCACTTTCGGACATGCTCTGGCCTGCGCACCACCCGTGAGTGGAGCGATGCGTACGTTGCCCCTTGCTGTAGGAGTCTGCCCCCGCATATCTCTACAAACCCTCCGCCAATCAACACCAATGTGCGGAACCAACTCCCGCGGGTAGTACAGCAGCAACACACATCATCCACGCATCACTCCCTCACTCCCCGAATCACGAACGTTCCCCCGAGACAGACCCGACTTCTACAATTTAACTGCAACGGACTCCAGGGAAAGATTGACGAGATAGTCGACTACATGAGCCGGGAGCACCTGCCAATTGCTGCGATCCAGGAAACCAAGTTGACCGCCCGATCAGATCTTCTGAACAGGGCCGGATACAACATAATCCGCAAGGATCGCGAGCGAGACCACGGCGGGGGTTTAGCGTTCATCCTGCACAACACCGTGCAGTATCGTCTTATCGATGGCGACATCGACCGCAGGGATACTACCCTAGAATGTCAGGGCATAGCTATCCGGTCAGGCGATGTCGAGCTCGAAATATTTAATATATACATCCCTCCAGTTACAAGTTGCCCAGCTGGATACACCCCTGACATAGGTGCGCTACTCAGGGGCGAAAACCGCTTGGTTTTGGGCGACTTTAACGCGCATCACGATCTTTGGCATTCTAGCCTGTCAAATGACCGTAGAGGAATGGAGCTGGCTGAACAGATAGACGATTCGACATTCTGCACAATGAACGATAACACCCCCACCAGAGTTATGGGTAATTGCCAAAGCTCGCCAGACATAACAATTGCGAGTGCTGGTCTGATAAACAGTATAGTCTGGCGACCTATACTGACGTTAGCATCGGACCACTTGCCCATACACATCTCGATTGACAGGCCTCCCGACTTTGTTTCCGCGGACCACCGGACTTTCGTTAACTTTAAAAAAGCTAATTGGCCCGGATTCACGGAATTTACCGAGAACGCCTTTAGTGCTCTTCCCACTCCAACTGACGTCACCGCTGGTGAACGCTCATTCCGCAGGGTCGTCGTGACCGCTGCCGCCCGCTTCATCCCGGCAGGCCGAATTGCGGAAATCCGCCCTAACTTTCCGACGGAAGCGGCGGTACTAGCAACCAGGCGCGACACCCTTCGAAGCTCCGATCCCGGGAATCCCCTAATCAGGGATTTAAACGCGGAGATTCGACGAGTCGTAAACAATCATAAGCGGAAAAGGTGGGAGGAGCACCTAAGGACCTGCAACCTCTCCTCTGGGGCAACCAAGCTCTGGGCCACAGTCAAGTCGCTGTCTAACCCGACGAGACGCGATGACCGGGTGGAAATTTCATTCGGTGATCGCGCCTCGTCGGACCCGAAGAGATGCGCGAGCTATTTTAGCCGTCTTTTTACACTGCATCCCTCGGTAGATAAAGCGAAACGACGTGTGACCCGCCGTATGCGCAAACTGCCAAACACCAGCGCGGTGCTTGATTTCTCCAGGGAGGAGGTTCAGGGGGTCATCGGGAAGGCGAAAGCCTCCAAATCCATCGGCCCCGACGGAATAAGCATGCTGATGCTGAAACATCTTGGACCAGCGGGAGCAGAATTTCTCGCGAGGGTCCTCAATCTGTCCTTGACCACCCTAAAGATACCCGACGTGTGGAAAATGGGTAGGGTGGTCCCGCTACTAAAACCGGGGAAACCAGCCAACAAAGGAGAGTCTTATCGGCCGATAACTCTCCTCTCCCCAGTAGCGAAGACGCTTGAGGCCTTACTGCTCCCGACCTTCACTCACCATCTGCGTCCAGCAGCGCATCAGCATGGCTTCCGAAAAGTGCACAGCACCACAACAGCACTTAACGCCATAAACACCCAGATAGTCCATGGCCTCAACCAAAACCGACCCTGCGCGCGAACTGTCCTAGTAGCACTGGACCTGTCAAAAGCCTTTGACACAGTAAACCATTCAGTGCTACTAACGGACATTGAGGAATCCTCATTACCGCCGGGGTTGCAGAGGTGGGTCATGGGCTACCTGAGTGGTCGACAATCATCGGTAATATTCCGAGGTAAAACATCTAAACCCAGAAAAATTAAACAGGGGGTTCCGCAGGGTGGTGTCCTCTCCCCGCTACTGTTTAATTTTTACATATCGAAACTCCCTCCACCACCAGAAGGAGTTTCCCTAACCTCGTATGCCGATGACTGTACGATAATGGCGTCTGGCCAGGATATTGATGACCTCTGCTCGAAAGTAAACGGCTACCTCGCTGATCTCTCCCACTTCTTCACTGCAAGACAACTACGAATCCAACCGACAAAATCCTCGGCTACCCTTTTCACCAGCTGGACGAAGGAGTACAGGCTTGAACTAGATGTAAAGGTCGATGACGAAAAAATTCCGACGATAAATAACCCAAAAATATTGGGAGTAACTCTGGACAGCCTGCACTCCTTCACTCCGCATACGACCGCAATTGCCGCAAAACTCCAGAGCCGCAACAAAATACTCAAAGCGCTAGCCGGCAGCACCTGGGGTAAAGATAAAGAAACTTTGCTGGCTACTTACAAAGCAATTGGCCGGCCGGTCGTAAACTATGCTGCTCCGATCTGGACGCCGGGGACGAACGGGACGCAGATGAAGAAGCTACAGGCTTGCCAAAACACCGCCCTTAGGACTGCGACAGGAAACCTCCTGATGTCGCCGGAGCATCACTTGCACAGGGAAGCATCTATGCTACGAGTTAAGGAGCATAATGCTTTGCTGTGCAAGCAGTTCCTACTGGGATGCTACCGCAGGGAGCACCCCAGTAGGCACTTAATAGAAGCTGAACCTCCACCTAGGCACATCAGGAAGGGAGTACTAGACCTCAAAGACACGATCCAGCAACACACACAACAACCGCTGGACAGGACGGCGTATCGACAGGCACTGAACGCCATTCACCAGGAGTCAGTTAACACCTTCATGAACTCCCTTCCAGTGAATGGCGTACTCGGAGAAATACCACCACCCATAGCAGACAACGAGCTCGAGCTGCCTCGAGAGACCCGCGTGACCCTGACACAACTTAGGTCTGGATATTGTAGTAGGTTAAACTCCTACCTATCCAGACTAGACCCCAGCATACCTAACGTATGCCCGGCATGTGGAGAGTCCCCGCACGACACTAACCACCTCTTCACATGCCCTCTCAAACCTACTCATCTAACACCCCTCTCCCTTTGGTCCAACCCCGTCGAAACAGCTCGTTTCCTGGGCCTACCTTTAGATGACCTCGACGACTTAGACTAACTCAAGCCTGTGCCTAAGCGGGGTTAGCGAATCCGCTACAACAACAACAACAACAACAACAGTACATTTTCGAGAAATCATTGAAAAATATACTTCACAGCAGTATCAAAGTTAAATTTTTTATAAAATTGTATTTCTTTCTTGCAGCGAAAACAACAGCAATAAATTAAATAATTGTATTCCGCAGATAACATCACCACAGTAAATATAGCGATACAATCGATTGCAAACAGGCAGGATCGCCAATTAAATATAATATGTAGATATATCCATATATTTATATTTATGTACTTTTATATTTTATTATTTAATAAAATTTATTTTACATCTCAAAATATTTGAAGATGATAATTATTCTAATTCAAATAAAGCGAGTAAAAAATCAAATATTTGATTCCTACAGGTAACTATATAAATCAACAGAATATGACTTGTAGACAAAAAATTGCAGAGAAACGTAATAAAAGCAACAATTCTAGCCGAAAATATTATAGGTGAAGACGTTCTCAAACCTCGAATCGCTATCCTCCCATCCGATACTCTCGTTAAATTCAAGCGCCAACAGTTCCCTGTTCGACTATCGTTTTTACAATCACTATCAACAATGCTCAGGGAATTCTGTAATCTACATTTAGATCTGGACCGTTGCAATAAAACGAGCAAGATGTTAAAACAAGAACAAACCGCCTTTTGTGCAATGGATTTACCAAATGTGACGATTAAGTAATGATGTTGATTCCATAAAAACAGTATGTTTCAAAAATTTTTCTACAACTCTGCCATCCTCTTCAAAGAAATCCCCGTGGGCAGCTATACAAAGATTCCAGCGCGTTTTCCATGCTTCGCAACATTTCTAGAACGCTTCGACTGGATATTCGCGAGTCAAAATAGGTTTTTTTGGCCCCCGATGTCGTTCTAGTGAACAAAAAAGGCAGAGGGTGACATATCATGTGAATAAGGCGGTTGTTGTAACATCACGATCCCTTTAGAGGCCAAATACTGGGATACTCTGAGGGCGGTGTGGCACGGGGCGTTGTCGTGATGAAGGATCCAGCTACGAGCGAAGTCTGGGCGCACCCTCGTTTTCGCAATCTTTCGAGTACTTGGCCATAGTAGACTTGGTTTAGGTTTGCCCCGGTGGAAAAAATTCTTTGTAGACGATTCCACGGCTATCAAATAAGGCAATAATCATCGTTTTCACTTTTTTCGGGCGGGGGGCCGTGCAGAGACACGGGTCGTATTGAAAAAACCAGCTCTCATCGCCTGTATAACTGCAATGACGCGTTGCTCTTGATTTCCTTTTTCCATTTTCGTGACGAGCACCACGAACACACGTTTACTCAACACGATGCAGCAGGTGAACTAATCAAGCTAGAGCGATGGCAAATATATCAATCAAGAGGAGAAGGATGCCGGGAGAAGGGAAAGGTTACTACAATCGCGACAATATAATAAGTCTCATTACTTTATTGTCACACCTCGTAGTACTCTCAATAGTCCTTTTGTTCGTATTTCCAAAATATATTATATTTTCCTTATTATTATGCACAATATAAACGGATTACAATATAACTTACCACGACTAACATATTCGAAATCCAGTCTGCACCCCAATTCCGTAAGAAAATCTAATATTGTGGATGTACACCCAACATCTATACTAGAACGAACTAGTGTTGGACGCGATCTATCCAGCTCCGGCTGACCGATGTATCGCAATTGGAATGGAGCATCTCTATCTAGAGCCCTTCGAACACGAAGCAATAAAGGTGCCGTTTGTGTTGGTTGTCTAAGGCTTAAACATACTTCCAAATCGTGAAAAGGTTCCGGTGATGCATCCACGGTGTCACATAGACCTCTCAATCTGTGGATTATTACATAAGCAAACATCAGAATATGTAATACTTATACATATGAAATAACTTAAATTCGATAAAATGTATATATTAGCAGTCATTTTCACATTTCAATTTAGTTTGTCGAGTTGCCGTATTTTAGGTTGGAACCTTGAACAAACCAATATTAAAAGTAAAAATACATGTCACGAAGCCACGTGAACAGCATTTACGCCCTGATGCTGAAACTATACTCGTATAAAAAGCTGGAGGACCATTAAAGAAATTCGACACTTCTGCTCAATGTTACAATCGATTAATCGTAAACGAAACAAATTATGCAGTTCTAAATATTACTAACGAATAATCAACAAAAAAGTACTTTATAAAAACAAATCGCAGTTTTCGTAAATAACTACAGGTTTAATATTGATTTCGAGTACGATATAGCTGCGTATAATTATACGATCAAAAGAACTTCTTCTTCTTTACGGCTTACGCGAGTATAGTCGAATCAATATTAGCGCGACATTTATCACTTCTTTTCGCTGTTTGGGGCCAGTTGGAAACAAGTGAGATAACTCTCCATCTCATCCATCTCCATTCATCTCTCAACTGATCAGCTCTTCAGCCCCATTTTAAATTCTTAAGCAGGAGCTTTGTTGTCCTTTAAGCATGGAATCATTATTTGAACCGCGTCAAGCTCTTTTCAACCATCATCGATTGGATTTTTCGGGTTCGCCATCTGTGGGTGTTATATTTTCAGTGCCCTTCATACAACTAGTACGCTGTGGACATCGGCCGAAAGATTTCACATTGATTCCGACGTGAGTATGCTTCGGTCTTGAAACTTTCTTTTAATCGTCGTTCATAAAATTTTCGAGCTTTACCCTTTTCGGTCAGCTTCTTAAGCTCTTCGTAGTCATGCATTATGTCCCATTTTTTCTTTCCTCTGCAAGTCGGGTTCTACCCTTTCTGTCGCTGTGACAAAACAGTGCTCTGAGACGAGTCCTTGAAACATAAGCACGTCTGCGTCAATCAGAATATGATCGATTTGATTTCGCGATTTCCGACCCGGCGACAGCCACGTAGCCTGCTTTCTTGTGCGGAAATCGACCGCTACAGACAACTATATTTCGAGCCTCGCTGAAGTCAATCAGCCTCAGGCCCTTTGGGGATGTTTCATCGTGAAGGCTGTTGTGCCAAAAATACTTCCATTGTCTACCCGGGCGTTAAAGTCGTTAAGCACAAAAGCGGATGTTTGTTGACTACCCAGGAACATTTGGTCTAAGACCAGAAGGCGTGAGCTGTTTGAACCATATGTAAAATAATTGTTTCTATCCACTACCAGGTGATTGACAGCCAAAAGCTTTCCTCAGTTGCATGAACTTCTACACATGACTCCATCAAGGAGGGACACTGGACACTGGAACAACTTAGGTCTGGATACTGTAGCAGGTTAAAGATTGATCACAAACCTGTCCCTAAGCGGGGTTAACGTAGGCGCTACAACAACAACAATAATTTGAAAACGCAGATCAGCACACTTCATCAAAAAAAAACATTATAACGGAAAATACCAAATGTATTTCGCCACTAGTTTTTTAAAATAAAATTATATACAAATAACTATTCTACAAATAAATGAAAAAACAATTATTTTTTCTATATATTTTCTTTCCTAAATCAGAGTCTGCAAGATCACCTATTCAGTTTGTTCTGACATTTTGTAATGACCAGAGTTCAATAATGCTTCTGGTGTCGCGGAACTCATCTAGCTTGCATAGGAGGGCATAGGCCTGGTTCTCAATATATGCAGTCGATACATGATTTCTTAGTTTCTTAGAAAAAATGGCTTTTTTAAATCAAGCATAAATAGAATAATAGAATTATGATCTATGACAACAATAATAATCGGCTCTCCCTTAAACTCAACTTATTATATATGCATGTTATTGACGCATTGTAACCGCGGAGCACCACCGATGATGTTTTTGACATACCCCCTGCGGGTTAGGGGCTCAAGAATTTACCCGCGGTAAGGCGACTAAAATCCAATAGTTGCCGCGACAGTCCGTCAAGGACTGTCACTCCCGCAACATTCCCCAAAAAGTACTTTGGGGAATAATTTTGCCGTTACAACAACAACAACAACATGTTTTTGACATCCGATGGTTTTTTTAGAGGAATCTTTTATTTCATGTCAGAAATACTTTCGGAAGGACTTGCCATTTCCTGCAGATGGGTCACCACATAAACTAAACTTTTTATTTATATTAAATTTCTTAACCTTTTCGATTGACTCGAAACTTAGCTACCGCGGCTGCAAACAATTTCCAACTTACATTGAAATAAATTTTAACACGATGAATACTATAAATCCAATGAAACCATTGATGAAAGCAGATGTATTCCGTTTTGCTCACTACGTAGTAACCGTCGATTTATTGTATTTACGTAATTGTGCTGAGGATGGGGAAATGAAAGTAAATGGCTGCATCACAAGTCACCAATTTTTTACCGATTGAAGCATAGGAAACTGAAATTCTAATCCAAATAAGATGACATTCTTACCTATGTATTAAGTGATCAACAGCCGAATCAAGGATAGATCCTTGTAATAAATATTCTTGATTTGGGATAATTCTACTCTGCAGCGCTTGCGAAAGTAACTCTTTCGAAGAAGTTATTTGAGTCATCCTATATACTGAACCGCCAACAAAATAAAGCATACAATCAGAATTTTTTATTCCCATCGAAACATATTTACATATTGTTTACATAAATCGTTGACAAGTGCCGATACAATTAGAGTATCGGTATCGATATATTTATACCCATCACAACTATTTTATATAGCAAAACGTACTTGCGTATCTGACAGAAATTGCACAACCCAGAAATTATTTAAGGGTTTATTTATTTAAGCTATGTTAGGGTACAAAGCCGCAATAAATAAACCCTTCCTAATAGATATTTACTATTATTATATTATATATATTGTTACGATTTTACTAAATCAACCTCGATGATTTCCTAAATCCTTCGGGTACGATCTGTGGATTGTTAAATAAAACTCGCCAACTTTGTTTGCAGTATCTTTCGTTATAAAGATTTGATCTAATGTCCTTTATTTTCTCCGTAATTCACAATTCAATTATAAGACACTTTACTAGCTACAATCACTTGCATCAACTTTCACCATTTACTCTACTTAAATGTAATTCCCAACGCGTTCACTTTACGACTTAACTGATGTTAACGCCAACGAGCTCACTTTGTAACTAACTTGACTTGCAGCTGAGTGTCGCCTTTATATAGCAGTCGGCTGCTCGCAGACGAAAGCGTAGAAGCATCGAATTGTTCGCTATGGAAGGTTCTTGTTTTATCGTTTCTAGAACGTACTAGTTATCGGCTTCTCTCTTTCATCTGACATTCGCCTCGCATTTTCGCAACAATATATATATATTCAGATTGCAGTTACCAATAAATAGATCAGTAATCAGCTGCGACATTTAGTTGGAAAAGAATTTCGTTCAGCAAGTTTTCTTAAAGATATTTAAACCATTTGTTATTTTTGAAAACGAGTTTTGTAGATTGCGGGCTTAGTGATTTCGTTGTTTACTTTTATGTAAGGAAACGGAATGGCAAATGATACGTTAAATAGCCTGATATTCAGCATTGTCGCAGGAAAAATATAATTTTGAAAGCGTTTACATTAGACGTCAAAAAAAAACGACGAAAAGTTGGCAACTTAAACAAAACGGTTCAAGTTTCCAAATATTGGAAATTATCAAAAGGCGACATTTCCTTTTTGAAAACAATTCTTTCGAATAAAAAGCGATGGGATGTCAATAAATTCATTTGGGTCGAAGTTAATTTCTGGAGATGTATTATATCTCGTAGAAAGATTTTTTCGTCCCTTTCTTAAGGCTGAAATGACATAACTGGAACTCACATTTGTATATCTGTTCTCTATTCTGTCTTTTGTGTATTTTCGTCATTCTAATCGGAAAATTAGAACACAATTGAGCGACAACATTTGATCTTAAAGCAAGACAATACTGACGTAAGCAAGAGTAGAGCTACCGTACAAGCCGAACATAGATGATATTCGTATTAGAATGGTATAATCAAATTTTAAATTGTACCTCTCACAATAAAGTTGCATATTATTAGAGGAACCGGTTTCGGACTGACGAAAATGCGGACTTCAGAGCGCTTTTATGAAATAAAAGTATCGATATTGTTACGATGGTTTTCCAAATCCATCGAGCTCGATCACTGGATTGTTTAATAATTTGTGTTACAATTTCTTATTTGTAAAAAACTCATTCAATGTTTATATTAGGTTTAATTAAAAGAAATCCATTTAATTGGAATTAAATTTAATTTTTAATGTTTTCTTTTCGTATCCAGCCTCTTTCAAACGATTCCAAACGGTTTTTGTGCAATCCTTAGCTCTTGGGCAATCGAAATAGTGCCTTCGTGACGTTCGACAATCGGCTTCCACTCCGTCAAGCATCTTTTACATCAAAATTACCGCAACGAAACCGAAATCGCGCATGATTGACTGTAACAATATCAGAGCGTTAAGCGCTATTCACATTTTCAACCGTTTGGCTTACGTTTTCGCCCTTAACGAAGATAAACTGTAAAACATAGCGTGTATTCTCTTTCTAGAGCCCATATTTGACTTACGCTCAAACAAAACTGTAACAACCAATCAAAAAACTTTGAGAAACGATTTTTTAAAACGAAATGTCATCTTTTTAACGCCATTTAGCGGAACCCGATCGAACTTATACAACGGGAGATACAGATAGGGCGAGTACCAAAACGTCAAAATACTTTGTAATGATGCGGTTGCGAAATCATGCAACCCTGCATTCCATAAATTTGCCTTGCAACAATACATTGCAAACTCTAACATCTTTGAACGCTTTTCGTGCAAATAAGTTGCTTTTCGGTGAAATCGCCAAAAATTGAAACAGATGAAGAAATTAAGTAATACAATGTTTAAAAATAATATTTGTCTCAAAAAACTTGCTCTCCGATGTCGGGCGTTGTTGTTAAGAATTCATGATGGATTAGAGCATCACAAACCTTAGCGATACGCAGTTTGCTTCTGTTTGCGCATCAATAACTTTAGCTTTACATATTGGAACAAGACATATCGTCAAAGTTTGCACAGTTGCATTTAGGAATCCGTAAAAATGTATGGTTGTTTTGCAACTGATGTTTTGGAGCTCACCTAAATTAACTCCATCTATCGGAGAAACATAAAATTCGTCATCTCCTCTCATGTGTTATACGCAATTGACATTTCCCGTCAAAATATTGTCGCCGATCCAAAATATTTTTGTGTCCGGTATATTGGGGCAGCCATAATATCCGATAGCCTATGATCACATTTTCATTGAAAAAATGATATCGAACAAATCACATATGCAGTATCGATTCCATATGTTATATATTCCTTGTTTTGGTTAATGAAAATGGCATTTCTACGGAGTTGTTTCGCCATAAATAGGATATTTGTAACCGCGTTAACAAATATACAATTTCCTAAAATAAGTATCTATAAGCAAGGTCTTCCCCGTAAACAACTTGTTTTGCATCAATTTGCGCGCAATGTTAATAGTGTGACATTAGGCCGTATAGAGAAAAAAATTAATTTGTTATTTACTTGCAAAGTTTGCCAAGCTAGAAATTCGAAATTAATTTCTAATGTGTCTTACAGAAAGGGTGTTGTGATAGTACGTTGCGATGGTTGCTCCAACAATCATCTAATCGCTGACAACCTCAACTGGTTTACTGACTTGAATGGGAAGAAAAATATTGAGCAGATTCTTGCTGAAAAAGGAGAGCATGTATACACTAATGTATCTAATGTAGCAGAAATAATACCTACTGAAAGTAATAAATAGTAGAATGAAATTTATTATGTATTTGAATATTAATATATATTTTGTGGTTATTAACGGTTGTGTCTGGTGATTAAAGTTAATATGTATTCTATTTCTTATTGGAAATTGATGGTTTTATTATTTATTGTTCTAATTTGATCCTTATAGTGAGCGGATTCACGTACATAGCAAATTTCTACCACCCCCTCCCAGTAAGGTGTGCAGCTTGTAAACTTTATGATAAAATGACGATTGCCTAAACTCAATATTCTATTAATGTTATCACATCTAGTCGCTGTTTCTTTTTGTAAAATTTGTCTGCTAGCTGTTCAAGCATATTTCGGTACCTTCCTTGCCATCCATGTCGGGGGAAAAACAGGCAGCTCAAATACTGGAGACATTTAATACTCTTATCATAGTTGTGGATTTTATTACTACGTTTTTTGCAAAAGTCATAATCCGCAATCATATGGAAATTCTGCAGCTTTTCGTTAACTTCGTGGTGAAATGATGTGGACGAGACCGAAGAGAGGGCTGATAGAGGAATTCGTTTGGTTAGGAAATAAATTAATGTAATTAGATTAGACAATCAAAGTTCCATATTTAATATATATATATTTTTATATACATATATTTTTTACAACTTGTAAATCTTTGCTCAAAAATTTAAAAACTTTTAGCTGACAGTTTCCCAAATCTTATAAAAAAAAACACCTTTGTCCACTTCCAAAAAAATAAATAAAAAATTATAGAGGTTAGTCTTGGCAAAATATATCACGAGTTTTTTAATATGTAATGTCTGGGGCACTTCTCGAAAAGGTCTTACAGGAATATCAAATATACTTTTCGAAATGATTAAAGTTTAACAGAACTCCGCCTACTTTTTTTAAGTTTTTATTGGTGTCGAATATAAAAGGAGATAAGTCCCAGATAGTAAATTTAGCTTTTCACAACCTCTACAAATAAAAACTTCAAATTTCATACAAATTTTTATTAACTTTATATTAAATATGTATGCAAAATAGGCATATTTATTATATGGCGCATGTACAAATTTATGGACTTACAGCATTCGCTTTGTAAATCGATCGAATAAGACAAATCTAGTTCAAATACGACAATCACAGTTTTTGAAAGGGGATTTCTTTACGCAAAATTTCAGTATCAAACTCTTTTGGGTTTACTAACTATAGTATAGTTTATACCACTATAATTTTCATGAGAAGGTGTTAAATTTGCACCCGCAAACATTTGCTGGCCAACGGCTGAATCGAAATATTTTGATCCGACTATGTTGCACTTTAGCGCAAGGGAAGATTGACATGGTAAAACATTAGTTTGCAGGTTTCGAATGCTGCCGCCGCCGTCGGTATCGGGCTTCTTAGAAAATTGAATTTCAGGATTTCCAATAAGTTCATAATCACTAAGCGATGGCGAGTCGCAACGTTTACGAGCTGGTGATACAACAGATACAATGGTATTATAACCACTCGATGTGTTGTTGTTTGGCGACATAAAATCAAGACGATCATAAGTGTCATCAATATTTCTTGCATTATTGCATGTTGCACTCCCTCCTCCTCCTTCTCCGATATCGATGTCTATTACTCTTGGTACTTTAGAATGCAAAAATGTTTCTTTTAGTGATCGTTGCTGAGTTCCACTGACAGCACGTTGCCAACTTGGTTCTATAAAACTTTCTTCGTTGTGATCCCCTAAAATACGCTCAGTGTGTTTCACTTCATCTATTCCAAGAGTTTTCCAAGCATCCGTTACAGTTTCTATGCTTTCATAATCTCTTTCAGCTCCTGACACTGAGTTATTTTCTTTGTGCTGTTGCAGATTTTGTTTTCTGGCACACTCAGGAGAAAAAGGCTTTATTACAAGAGTAGAACCAATGGTTTTGTTGGGATCACTTGATGTAGTAATTGAAACCGCATCGTAATTTTGATATTTACATAATTTATCAGAATTTGTTTGAAAGTTTAGATTTGACCCATGGAGCAGAGATTTATTGGAGTTTGTAGAGGAAGGGAATGCTGATTGTAGTTTCCGAGGAGGTTTATTCGGAACTTGCTTTATAATTGGAGGGAGTAATATCGGCATGGAATTGTTATTAACAAAACAGCTGTTAAGAGAATCACTTGAAGTTGTAAACTCCCTGTAAGAGACACCACTTTGGGAATTATTTTCAATACTTAAGCATTGTTGATTGTTGGGTGCTAAAGGGCTTCGAGAACCAGCCTCCATATTTGCAGCTATGATCCATTGATTTTCGCTGACATCATTATTTAAATTGTCACAATTTATTAACTTCTTCATAGATTTCATTTTAGCAGCCATGCATCGAAAAATTTCTTGGGGATTGGTATGATCTAGTGTAAATATACCTTCTCCAGTGCAGCATTTTCTACCGGCTTCGAAAGTAAATTTTCCATCACGGTATCCGTATTTACGAATAAAACGATAAGGCCATCTTGCTATTATTTCATTAAGATCATCAGTGCTTTTCAACTGGAGTTCAGTCGCAGTAAGGTGCAGAATGTAAGACTTGGATTCTAGATTACAACGGATGGAAGTTTCTGAAGGTATCAGTGTTATAATAAATAACCCATCCCCAAAAGAACTGCAATATAAATCATTATCTTCCTCTATTGCAGCTTGAGCTGTATGCATACTGCTTTTATTGCGGAATGCGACCATTTGTAATGCATTTGTCCATTCCTTTAAATCTTCCTCTGTCAAAGTATTTAATGTCAAGGATTCAGTTTTCTTTATTACTTGTATGATATTTGCTGGTGGTGGCTCTTGCGTTATCTTGACACAATTTTCAAGTGTTACTATTTTAGGATTTTTGTCGTCCTTAGATTCACAAATTTCAAGTCGCTCAATACCATGTTGGCTTGAATTGAAAAGCAAGCAATATCTGTGGCAGTTTTTCTGTATTATAAAATATATTGACAAGAATTAATTAAATAATTATTGATGTTCTCTCATTTCAATTTTATGTAAATCTAATTCTAACGAAATCCTGAACCATTTGAATGTGATTATATTTTTAGTTCTAAAAGATATAAATACCCGTTGAGCTTTTAAATTAAAGTAAGAATTATTTGTTTCTCCATCATTAAAATAGTTCTGGAAAAATGTATTACAAAATTTCGACTATTCGCAATGTTGTTTGTGCCAAATGAATCAATATGTTATAAAATATGTTTATTTTTTTAGAGTTATAATCAATAACAAAAAATTTCGCGAGTTTACTTTGTCCCAGCAATTCAAACAAATATACACATTATATGTATGTAAACAATGCAATAGCAATACAACTATTTGGAGTTTTGTTACATCAATATTCGATGAGAACTTTAATAAAGCAAAACACATTTCATTGAAATAATCTATTTTTTGAGCCATTTCAACTTTTAAAATATTTAACTATATCAAATAGCTACAGAAAAACACAACTAACCTTCTTAGAAATTCGGTTTAAAGAAAAGCTTGATTGCATTGGCACATTAAGGTATCCGGCAAGAACAGGAACTTCGGTGTCCATTATTTTATTCATAATTTACATATGAACACAATCTAAAATATATTTCATTTATATATGGCTAATTAACTTTTAAGTAAATCAAAAGGAAACAGAATAATAGTCAAAGAAAATTATTATGATTATTTCTTCAAGATTGTACACAACTATCGATTGTTATATTGTTCGATACTAAATTGTGCACTATTCCGCACAAACATTTTAAAAGCGGTTTACAAATAAACAATTACAAAAGTTAGTTAGGAGGAGTGGCGATTACATGGGCATGATCTAGATCAGTGCATCAGATTCTCGCCATCGAGAACAATCAAACAGAATCTTTTAGAGATGTATGCCAGTATTTGTTCGGTATACAAGAGCGACAGCTAACGTCGCAGCATATTCAGTTGAGTTTGGGACTCGGTAGTGCAGTATAATGTGCGTTTGCAGAAGAATTTAGTAAACTGTGTATAAACAAAGGAGTTGATAATTAGCGCATTTGTGACAAAAGAGGAGTACAACAAAATTTGAAGCCTGCGTTGCTCCAAATTAATTTTTTTTTTAATGTCAACATTCGTTACAAACACCTGATTAAAAACATCTGCAGTGCAATTCTGTAACTTTTTCGACACGATTTGTCGGATCGCAAAGTTGCAAATTTTGTCGCTTGCTCTAACGATTATGCGATTCTCTAACTCAGTTGTTACGATAATCGACATCGCACTATTCCATTTTATTAAAATGTAGGAAAGGTGGCACCACAGCTTAACGATACGTCAAATTGTACGAAAAACACAAAGAAGAATGACAAAAACGTATAAATTCTTTATTCCAAATCAGTAAGTACATATTTTTCCGCTGGGTTTTGAATATATATTTGAAATATGTATGTAAAATGAAACGTTTATTAGTTTTTGTATTATTAAACATGCCTTATTGTGAGTATAATTGTAGAATGGCTACGACAAAAAGAAACCGAGCTACCTTCACAGAAAACATCGAACGGTTGATTGCGTCTGTTACGCAATGAATGCAACGGCTTACTGATGACTGACTCATGGATATCCCATATAGCTCTCCGACGGGACGTTGATAGCATCCAGTTGCAAAAAATTGCAAGGCGGTTAAAACCTTTAAAAATTTTAATAGTGTTAAGACTTAAAAAAAAATATTGAAAAAATATATTATTACCTGTTTCTCCGTAGACAATGCTGTTATTCTTCTTCCTTTTAGTTGACAATCTAGTTGAGATATGATTTCTTCAACTAAATCTGGCGTAAATCTATATAGCTGCCAAAACTCGGTAGCATCCAAATGAAAAGTATCTTCCGCTTTTCGACGCAAACTTCTATCCAATGATGAAGGGTAGGATACCTCTTCATCTTGTGATAAATCGTATGCCAAATATTCAAAAGCCATTTATTTTTTTTTTATTTTTTTTGTATAACTTAGACAATTTCCCGGACACTTTACTCTCTCATATGAAATAACAAAATTTTGTCGATATCGCTAACAACTTAAAAAAATTCGTCGCTTAGTTAACGATTTCACAAGTAGTTTGCGACAACAGCGAGAGCGAATATCGTTAAAAGAAGTACACCGAGTATTAAAATCGTTAGAATTCTTTGCGATCCGAAAATCGTTATACTATTCTTAGAGAATAGCGAATATCGTTAAAAATATCGTTAAGTCTTCTTCGCGATCCGAAAATCGTTATGCCATTTTAGAGAATAGCGATTATCGTTAAAAATATCGTTAAGTCTTCTTTGCGATCCGAAAATCGTTATACCATTTTAGAGAATAGCGATTATCGTTAAAAATATCGCTAAGTCTAATTCGTGATCCTAAAATCGTTATACTGTTCTTAGAGAATAGCAAAATCGTTAAAATTATCGTTAAGTCATTATAACGATCCGAAAATCGTTATAATACGATAGAAATTGCCCTGCTGATTGGTGATCATATATTTGAATTTTTGTCAACAACACAAAATTTATTTAAAATAAAAATAATATTAATTCTTTACAATGAATGATGCAAAATGGTGTCCTAATGTAATTTTGACAAAAGAATTTAATGATATCAATGATTAAGTAGTTAAGGTACTTGTTAAATGTAGTGGCAGTGGATTGGAATAATCGCCTGCACACCATCCAACTTCGAATATATTATTATTTCTTATGCAACGAAAATTGGTTTTTTGCATTTCTATTTTTCACTAGAAAAAAGAGGGGAGAAGAAAGGAGCCGCAAATCACAATGACGATAATGTATTCTTAAGCTTCTGGAAGCAACGGCCATGCACAAAATCAAATTATATTCGCATTTAGAAGGGAATATAAAGCGGATGTTTGGCTGTCATGTCAACAGAATCGGTTATTATAGAGCTTAATAATGTTCAGCTTATATTGTCGGCTTACTCTTTGGGAGAGTAAGGGCCGTTTTCACCATCTCTGGTTAAGAACTTAATCATAACTTATCCGAAGGTAGCATAAAATACGATTTCGCAATGTCCGGTCATCATTGATAACCGTTTTCACAAATGACCTATTAACTTAACATTTACATTGAAAAAAATTTGGCAGCACTGCTTTTTTCGTCCATGTCAAATTATATTTGCCAGTTGATAAAGTAAAAAGAAAAATATTCACATCGAAATGGAAGACGGTGCACAAAAAAATTAAAAAGTTTTATTAATTTGTTAATTAAATCATAAATATTTGAACCTTATTATGGAAAATATGCCTGGACAACAAAAACAGCTGAATGAAAACGTTATCTTACAAATTAAATGGCTATTTTTTAGTCTCGAAAGCTTCTTAAAATACGACTTTTTGCACTTTTTCCTTCATCTTGAATGAAATCCAGGCCTAAAATATGCCTTTTTTTTCTCAAATTTACAACACAAAATCAAACAGCAGATATTTTTGTTACCTCCTATTTCGCTGGTAACAAAATTTACAGGGTAACAGTGAGCTCAGAATACGAAATGGTAACAAAATTTACTGAATGGTAAATTTTAATACCTAGGTAAATTTTGTTACCTCGACAGAATAGGCCTGTTAACCGGAGGATAGTTAACCGTCAGATAGACTGGTTACTTAACTTCTGGTTAGTTTGATCATTGTGAATATTTTAAGGCAAATTCCCAAAAATTTTTCTTGTGAACAGATGAAATCTGCGTGACAGTCCATATTTTTTTTTAATTTTTGTGTGCAAAAATGCCCTTATCCATTGTATTTTTAAATTATTCGAATATAATGGATAATAAAAAAAGAAATCGTCTTCCAAATTTTTAAAGTACTGAGGAACGCTACCCCAATGCAATCGAGAATTAAAAGACTAACGCAGTGGCCTGGGACGAAAAACGAAAAGCTTGGGAAACATTGATGTTGAATTTGAGGTTCAAGTGGGAATTTGTAGAGGGCCCAAAAACTTAAGAGAAAAATATAAAAATTTGAAGAGGTAGTGCTTGAGCTTTTTTATTAAAAATATTGCGAAGAACCTATTGTACATACAAGGTCCGTTATTTCCAATATTGCATAACAGACAGCTTTTACGTTGAAGGAAAAGTACCATTTTCCATTTCGAAAAATTTCGGCATTTCTCTACCAAGTGATTGGATTCTGACATGGGTGCAATCGATACACCCCACCACCTTTGGAAACTTCACTATTCGGTGAAATGTGCGTATTGCGTTTTCAATTTCTCTGTTGGAATTGCCAATTTTGCTATCTAGAATGACTCTAATTGGATTACCAGAAACATCTGTTGATGACGACGAAAATATAGGTGAGGTGAAATGAAAACATATACATATATTACTACATTTTTAAACCATAAAAAGTCCTTTTACCCATATAAAAATATATGAAATAAAATTCAGTAAACTGAAATTTTTTTCCATAACCACAAAAGAAATTAAAAGAAAAAAAAGAAAAGAGAAAACAGAAGAGCTTAAGAATTACTCAACCAAATTGTGTGGAAAAATGTAAGCAAGTACCAGCTGTCATGCAGTTTTGAGGTATTCACATCGCAATTTTTTGTGAATTTACCTTAAAATATTCACAATGATCAAACTAACCAGAAGTTAAGTAACCAAAACTTGGTGAAAACGAAAATGTCACATCAGTATCAGTATCCGACGGTTAGACATCTTACTCTCTCAATTTCATTACTGGTTAATTTTTACTGACATTTCTCAACGATCACAGCTATTAATTTCCTGTTGCTGTTCTTTTGCTCTTATTTTCTTCATAATTTTACAGGTGGAATTCAATGCATGAATCAATTTTAACATGAAATGCCGGTTTGAAACTGAAAATTCGCCTTAAATTTTGAAGTATGTAATCGTGTAAAACACGTACTTTCAATTCATATGAAAACATTTAATAAATTTTTTGCATGTGAGTGTAAAAATACATCTATTGTTTGTTTCGTGTCTTGAAATCCCAAACAAAATTCTTCAAATGTTCGCAAAGTGTAAATATGTGCAATATTTTAAAATTAATATCTGCTTAATAGATAAACAACAAATAAACAGTTAAACATTTAAAAATAGTTTGTTTTATTTTGCTACCTATTCAACATATATATAATATTATATATTTTATGTGTCAATCATAATCCAATTAGTGAAAGTAAATAGCAAAAGTGTGAAAACTTGCAATTTTTCGCTGAACTATTGTAGGAAACTACAGCATATACATAAATAAAACAAAAAGTGTACAAAAGTTTAATTCATTGCTATCAATCCTTCCATAACGCAATTCAATCAACGCGTTTAGATGCAATATGCAATGAAAGTGGAATAAAATTTTAAAGTCAACCCAAATCATTTCTATTATTGCAACTCGGATTTGTTTCCAATAAATTTTCAATTAAAATTTAAAAGAAAAACTCTATGAAAAGTTAACAGACCATTCCCGAATATGAGATGGATAATTATGTCGCACAATTGCGAGCCATGGAGATATGCTATGGTAGTGAGCATAACAGACACATGTAAACAGATGAAGCTGGAGAACCGCAACCGAAACCCAAATTAATCTCTTAAGGAATTTACTTCCAAACTGGCTTACTAGGCTTCTTGATACTAACCTCGAAAGGCTCAAAGTCAACAGGTTTATCAGCGAAGTAAAGAACATATGCACGAAGCGAGAGACGTATGCGAATATAAATCTAGCGTTTGCTGAAACTGTCGCATATGCTCACTTGAATCTGCGACAATCCTAAGTAAAGCACTAGACTAGACAGTCTCGTAAATTGATAGAAAATCGATCAATATTACAATTCGTAATGCAGCCAAAAGAGTCACATCACAACCCATCATTGATTTGACTTGGTCACTCGCCGCGAGCAAAAAGGAGCTGGGAAAGGTATATGGTTAGGGCACCAATGTTGTAGGAGAGGTAAAGTTTGAGCTCATAGTTTGGAGTACTATAGTGGTACATAAGTTCACAAAAGCGCAAATTACTGATGTAGTCATTGTTGGTTTGATCTTTCTACTGTAACGGAATTTTCCCATTTGGCTGGGGTCAACTCAGCCTTGCCGAGGGCTTCTACGGTAAAATAACGTCACGCTATTTTACTGCTACAACAAATTTATTATTTATAAACAGAGTTATACAATATATAAATCTCTATATATCCACTATTTATATATAAATCTCTATATCTACTTTCTCGTATGGGCTGTGGGGGTGGAAACCCTCTACTAACCTCCTTTCAAGTGAGTTGAAAACCCTCAATGGAATATTACTAAGTGCTCGTAAGGCGAAACTACGTTTGCCGGTGGTGCTGATCCCACGGACAAGTAATCTTTCGACGACGCATGGATTACTTAATTTTCTTTAAATTTTCCTCGCATTTTATACAATTCTGCGCGAAGGCAGAATATTATTTAATAAAAACATAATTATTTAATTAAAACGATTTAATACTATAAGTATGTGTTGGCGCGCAGCATTAAATTGAGCCTTTAGAAGTTAAAGTTTAAAATGTACATTAAAATGCGACCTTGTGGATGTATGTCCCGTTATTTTCCATTCGAGCCTGTCCGTTGCTAAGTTTTTTAATAGGCTTTCTTTTTCATTTGGTTCGTTGGCGGAGTTAGACGTGCATACATACATCCACGAGAAGCACAATTATTTTAGCGTTAACGTTAACATATTAAAGTATTTTCAAATTAGTTTTCCTTATAAAAGTTTGATTAACATAATTATTTGAATTGAATTTATAAATAAATATACGAATATATTCAAATTTAAACGCTCATAATAAGTGTTCAACTCATAACCCGCCAACATTCTAAAATAATTGTTCCTGATAAAATTTATTGTAAGGAAATCGTATTCCTAAACAAGTTGAACGGTAAGTTTCGCATACTATACAGCTATGCAGAACAACGGAAGCGCCGTTATAGAAAAAGGTGTACAGCTTTTGTGCAGTGGACCTGCTGAGCAACACTCATCTCCGCGAAGTGTGCAAGCTGGTGCACAAATCACAGTATTAGGCATGCCGCCCATGGACACAACGCCAATAAATCATTCACCGCTGTTTTGTACCACTGCGGCTGCTGTTACCGTGGCCAACACATCTGTTCAATTTTCATCGCCTCATTCGTCAATGCCGGTTGAGCTTAGAAGCATGGCTATGGCGCCAAACCAGCAGCTTGGATATGCTGGCGTTCCTATGGCGCCAAATCAATTCTCGCCTTGTGACAGACGGTCGTCTCTTCTTGGAGGACCTCAAATGAATTCAACGTTCGCTCATCCATCTGCCTGCGTGTTCGGTCAGAGCCGTCATGCACCGATGAGCACCGCTGGTACGTACTTTGGCGGCAACGTCGTAAACGCCCCACAGCCTAGCATTTCATCCTTAAGTACTCTGTATGCACGTGGGTGCAGTGCTGCCGCACACAACCCAACGACAGTTCCGGGCTACCACATATAGGTCCTACGCCCATCGACAACCGTATCTGGGGAGAAGCGCATACTCAGTTTCAGCCAAGCTTAGATTTGAGCTTGAGTCCATCACATATAGCGACAAGGCAAGTGATAAGCAAGGATCTGCCGTCATTCTCTGGGAAACCAGAGGAGTGGCCATTGTTCATTACAAACTATGAGCAGTCAACTGAACGTGGTGGATTTTCGGAACAAGAAAACCTGATTCGTTTGCAAAAATCATTACGAGGAGCTGCCCTAGAAGCCGTCAGAGGTAAACTAATGATGCCGTCTACGATCCATCTGGCCATTAATACTTTACGCATGCTGTTCGGCCGACCTGATGTCATTTACAACACACTGCAGCGCAAATTGAGACAGATGCCAGCAGTGAGAACAGATAGGTTGAATACCTTAATCGATTTGGCGTTAGGCGCTCAGAATTACAGAGCGACGATGCAGGCATTGGGTCTTAACATGGTGAGATGCTGCAATTCTAAACGAGTCTGCGGTGTGGATAACTGCCGAATGGCACATAATCCACTGTTACATAATCAAACCACGAACCTCAACGCTCAGTCGAACATAGATAATTCTACAATTCTACTTCATCAACGTAAATCTAAAAGAACGATCTTTCGGTACATTCCAGTAATCTTGTATGGCCCAAGAGCCACAATTGAGGTGTTTGCCTTAATTGACGAAGGAGCGTCGTGTACATTGATGGATAGCATGCTAGCTGACCAACTCGGTCTCGACGGACCTAGTGAAGAACTCTGTTTGAAATGGACAGGCGACATATGTCAGCAAGAAGCAAACTCCAAATATATAAGCTGCGAGATGTCTGCCAGAGGAAAGAACTCAACGCGCTATCGCTTACGAAATATGCGCACCATTACGGACCTCGAGCTACCGCAGCAATCTTTAAACGCCGATACTCTGAATGCGCACGAACATCTGAAGTCACTACTTATTCTGCCATACACCGACTGTAAAGCACGACTGTTAATTGGTTTGGACAGCACAACCAAACTCTGCGTTCCAGCGGAAGTGCACCAAGCCGAAAACGGGGACTTAATTGCTGCTCGCTGTAAGCTGAGCTGGTCAGTTTACGGCCATGATAATTCTACTCATATGCCAGTCGAGAGTTTGCTCTACGTCTGCAGTTGTAACAAAGACAACCAACTAGACAGCTTGATGAGGACCTATTTTGCCGTAGGTTCTGTTGGCATCAGTCCTGCAGTCAAACCTCTTAGATCGAAGGCAGACGAACGTGCATACCACCTGATGGAGAAAACAGTGAAATATGCCGACGATAAAAAAAGGGAAACAGGTCTTTTGTGGAAGTATGACAACATCGATCTACCTTACTCATACCGAATGGCTCTCAACCGTCTCCAATGCTTGGAAAGAAAAATGGCAAATAACACGGAGCTTAAGCATTTTCTTGTCAGAACATTGAACGAATATATCGATAAGGGCTATGTAAGAAGACTGAAAGCCGACGAAGTCTCTAAAGGAGGCAAATCCTGGTTCATTCCGATATTTACAGTCTTAAATGTCAACAAAAATAAAAGGAGAATCGCATGGGATGCAGCCGCGAAGGTTAGTGATACGAGTCTAAATGACGTACTGCTCAAGGGTCCTGATCTTCTGCGTTCGCTGGTTGGTATCCTGATGCGATTTCGTGAACGTTCGGTGGCTATATGTGTGGACATTCGCGAAATGTTCCACCAAATTCGGGTGAAAGAAGAGGACCAGGTGGCGCAACAATTCCTTTGGCGAAACGGTGATGTTCATCGATGGCCTGATGTCTTTGCCATGACCGTAATGACGTTTGGGGCATCGTGCTCCCCGTCCCTGGCTAACTACATAAAAGACAAAAATGCTATACGATTTGAAAAGACACTTCCCAAGGCCGTAGCAACGATAGGATAGTAACACATTTGTAGATGACTGGCTGCACAGTACAGACAATGAAGACGAAATGATGCAACTTGCTTCTGATGTGCGCAACATACATTCTGTAGGCGGTTTTGAAATGCGAAACTGGCTATCGAATTCCAAACGAGTTCTACAAGCAATGACCAGTCAGAGTAAGCTCTCAAACAAGTGTTTCCTAGAACCGGGGTCAGAACTTCAAAAGGTTCTAGGTATGTGGTGGCTTCCTATTAGTGATGAGCTAACATTTGTTCACAAATTAAAGCCAGAGGTCTTCATTGAAACTCGTCTTCCTACAAAACGACAAATACTGCGGCTTCGATCCTTTGGGCTTGTTAGGCTTTTTCGTGATACAAGCCAAAATGATTTTACAAGATGTATGGCGATCGGGCGTAGCATGGGACGCTCAGCATGGTGGCAGTGGCTGCGAAGGCTTCATTTCGTCTGTCAAATTCGAATTCCACGGTTCTACCAATTCGCGAGTCATAGCAGCGATAATCAACTTCATATCTTCGTCGACGCTAGCATATCAGCATATGCAGCTGTGGCCTTTATACGTTCGAGTATAATAAACAAAATTTGCTGCAGTCTCGTTGCTTCTAAAACCAGAGTTGCTCCTTTGAAGCCACTCTCAGTACCAAGGCTTGAACTGATGGCCGCCATCCTAGGTCTTCGTCTAGCTAAGTTTATAGAACAGGAGGTCTCTATAAAAATAAACCGCCGGATTTTCTGGTCCGATTCGAAATACCTTCTCTGCTGGATAAGGTCAGATACCCGAAAATTCAACCAGTTTGTGGCTGTACGTATTGGTGAAATTCTAGAAGATTCACAAGTCAACGAATGGCGGTGGGTACCATCGAAGGATAACGTAGCAGACGACGGAACTAAGTGGACCCCAAATATGGAAATTAACAGTTCAGCCAGATGGTTCACCGGTCCCGACTTTCTAAAATTATCAGAAACTTCCTGGCCTACCATTAATTTCGAACAAGTTAAAACTGCAGTGGGAATAGTTCAACACATGAATACGTACAACACACTAAAACATGATGCATCACCGGATCCACAAAGGTTCAGCAAGTGGGAAAAACTACGGTCTGCCCAGATGTGCATTCTTCGGTTTCTTCGTTTGATTATGAAATCTTCAGCAAGAAATCCCATTACTCAGATGTTACTCGATGACACAACTTGTACAAGTGCTGAAATTCTCCTATTTCGTAAATGCCAACAAGAGTATTATTCCACAGAATATACTCAACTAAGAAGCGGCGCGGTAAGTCGTAAAAGCTCAATTTACAAATTTTCTCCATTTATAGATGAGTATGGACTGCTGAGAGTGAAGGGTCGGATTAACGAAGCACGAGGAGTACCATCTGATCTTAAACGACCCATTATACTTCCCCGAAATAGTATCATTACTCATCTCTTCACAGAGTTCTACCATCGGAGGTTCCATCACCACCACAACGAAATAGTGGTAAATGAGATGAGGCAGCGATTTTGCGTTCATGGTCTACGATCATTGGTGAGAAACGTGACCAAGCTATGTCAACATTGTTGCAATCGGCGAGCCATGCCGAATCCACCTGAAATGGGAAAGCTACCCATGGAGCGCCTGGCAACATTCTGCCATCCGTTTGCCTACACAGGCGTCGACTATTTTGGACCATTTGATGTGACTGTTGGCAGAAAACACGAGAAACGTTGGGGAGTCGTGTTTACGTGTATGACCATACGCGCGGTTCACATCGAGATTTCACCATCGCTATCCACCGACTCGTTTCTGCTGGTGCTGAAGTTGTTTATTTCAAGAAGGGGAGTACCCAAGCGAATCCTCTCAGATAACGGCACCAATTTTAGAGGTGCTAGTCGTATACTAGCTGAAGAAATAGAGAAGATATCATCTGAAACAATAATGCGAAAGTATCCTGAGATCGAGTGGAAATTTATACCACCAGCATCACCACATATGGGCGGTGCCTGGGAGCGGATGGTCCGATCCATTAAATCCGTACTAATGGACATACTTCCAAGAGGTGCCCTGCGTGAAGAAGTATTGAGAGCTGCCTTAGCCGACGTCGAGAATATCATTAACATGCGTCCGTTGACCTACATCCCGCTGGACTCTTACGATAGCGAGGCTTTAACGCCAAATCACTTTCTCCTTGGTTGTTCCAGCGGCATACGAGAAAAGGATGACTTCGACGTTGGTCTTCCGTCACTGTTAAATGAAAAATTTCGTGCCTCGGGGGAAATAGCCAATCGATTCTGGAGACCATGGATTCGTGAATATTTGCCTGGATTAACAAGACGCGCAAAATGGCTTGAGAGCCCAGCAGAACCTATTGTCCCGAACGACGTGGTGATCATCGTTGATGAAAACTCGAAACGGAACACCTGGGTCAAGGGAAAGGTGCTAGATGTTATACGAAGTCCCGATGGCCAAGTAAGAAGTGCTGTAGTAAAAACAGCCAACGGACTGGTGACTCGCCCGACAGTGAAATTAGCGCGTCTCGACCTTAGAGCAGTGAACCCCACATCAGAGCATGAAGTTCACGGGAGGGGATTGTTGACGCGCAGCATTTAATTGAGCCTTTAGAAGGTAAAGTTTAAAATGTACATTAAAATGCGACCTTGTGGATGTATGTCCCGTTATTTTCCATTCGAGCCTGTCCGTTGCTAAGTTTTTAATAGGCTTTCTTTTTCATTTAATTCGTTGGCGGAGTTAGACGTGCATACATACATCCACGAGAAGCACAATTATTTTAGCGTTAACGTTAACATATTAAAGTATTTTCAAATTAGTTTTCCTTATAAAAGTTTGATTAACATAATTATTTGAATTGAATTTATAAATAAATATACGAATATATTCAAATTTAAACGCTCATAATAAGTGTTCAACTCATAACCCGCCAACAGTATGTGTGTATACATGTCTGAACATGTTTCTCTTTGTGAAAACCAAACATAAAACGGAATTCCTAAAATAAGTACGTATTAATTTTTGAGTTAGGCGCGCAATGTTTATAATGTTTATCGCTGTAGTTATTATTCCGATATTCGCTATCTTTTTATCAGCTGTTCGACAAATCGTTAACTAAGCGAAAAACGTTTTGAAGTTTTTAGCGCCATTGGCGAAATATTGATGTCTTATTAAGAAATTACCTAAGCCATCAAAAATAAAAGGAAAATAATAAACAAAAGTAGCTTTTGATTATTTAGCATACTTTTTGTTCCAAAATTAGGAGGTATCGTACCCTTCATCATTGTTAGTTTGTTGCTTCGTAAAGTGGACCCAACACAAAAGAGAAGCAAACTGAAAAGGAAAATTTTGCTTCAGAATCGTCACAATTTGTCGACACAAATCTTTCAATGTTAATTGTTATTTTAGTAACTCATCATATCAAGATTTTGGCGATAAATGCAAAGTTCTCAGGAGCCTCTCATGTTTATTTAAAAAATGCGACAATTTTTGATGGTGTTTTGTATTTAATTTAATTTTCCATTTTCCTACTAAATTTATGACAAAATTAGTTATTCTTAACCTCGTGGTCTATAGACATCAACTCTAATGGTTACAATTCTAAGCCGAAATAAGTAAGGAGGCAAAATATGAGCAGACAGATTACGTACCGGGCTCCAGGAAGTGTACGGTATACAACAGCTATTCGAGAACATGAAAGTTCTGCAAACCAACTTGCATAGATGCAAAACTGCGGATGCACTGCTGACACAAATGTCAAGAGAGAGCCACTACAATGTCATTATCATCAGTAAACAATACAAAAGAAGGAGATTTTAACTCTAAAGCAGTCGAATGGCGTATGCAGAGCACCAACTCCAGAGGCAAGCGGATTTTAGAGATGGCTGCACGACTGGACCTTGTAGTACTTAACACCCGAATAGCAACGATTTTCAGACGACCAGGATGCGAAGAAACAACACCCGACATAACTACTAGATCTTGAGATGCCTTATAGCACATATTTCGTGGGATATGCTGACGACATTGCCGCTATAATCACCGCGCGCGACACGGAAGACGCAGGTAGGAAGTTAAACCAAGTAATGATAAGAACAAAAATGTGACTTGACCAGCGGGGTCTCAAACTTGCAATAGAAAAAAACGAGCTACTGCTATTAACGAAGAAACACATATCTTCAAAAATAGACAAGCACACAATCGCGGATAAACTGAGGTCAAGGAAAGTTGTTAACTATCTGGGTGTAAGACTAGCCGCACTAAAGGCCTCAAAAGTCATTTCTCAGCTTAGTAGACTAACGACTAACGTAGGAGGTCCAACTCAAGAGAAAAAGGAGCTTATCATGGCCGCAACCCTTAACATCTTACTGTATGGAGTCGAGCTATGGGCGGACTCACTTATGAAGAATAATAGGCGAATGGTACTGGTCAAAGCGTACCTTACGGCGGCTTTAAGGGTAGCGTCGGCATACTCTACAGTATCAGGGGAAGCTATAGCTGTAATAAGCGGAAGGGCCAGATTAATAGCAGATGTCAAAATTTTGACAACTAGGAAATTCGGGGAAGTAGACTACTACATTACCCAGATACTGTCCGGTCACGGATATTTCAGGATATACCTCCATAAAATAGGGAAAGCTGAAGATCCGTCATGTATTTATAACGATGCTGACGAAGAGGACGCCGAGCATACAATCTTTCAATGCACTCGCTGGCAAGACGCGAGAATCAGACTTGAAAACACAGTTGGAGAACTAAGAGTAGATAAGTGATCTGCAAGTGGCACATGATGTGACGACACAATGATGATGCGGAAGGCATTTTTCTTCTGCTCACCTGCAAAAAAAAGAAAAGAAATAAGATGCTTTTCTCTATTAGTTCTTTGTTCAATGTGTTAGATAACGGCTGCATAATTACTTTACGCCGACTATTGTAACTAGACAATTCCCAAGTCAGTGAATTGTGTGTTGGATCTTTTATTTAACAATCCACTGATCGAAGAATTTGGGAAATCATCCAGGTTAATTTGAAGAAATTCGTTCAACATATATTTTGTGTATATTAGACAATATAGCAATACAACATAATAGATTTTCAATAGTGACGAAATTACATAAGGAGCATATGGTCAATAATTTGCGAATGTTTATTATCAAAACCTAATACAAAATATTTACAAAGATCAAAAACACGTACGTAAAGAGTAAAAAAGGTTAAGAATGTCGTAAAAATTAAATTGATTTTCAATTTTAATTTTTAAAATATTTCAGCACCTATAGGTATCTGTAGTTAAAGATTTACATATACATACGTGTCCTTCCTGTCAACTGGAAACTCTTTAGTCATAAATTCCGATTGTTTTATGGTAAAACTTTTGTCATACTGGTATCGCCCAAAAATATATATATAATATAGGAGATGAGAAGTAGATTAGCAAAAACCCAAAGAATTGGCTTCCGAACTTGAGAGATCATTTGGCAAGACGTTGAAAATCCAGAAGCGAATTAAAGGATATATGCACATAGTGGGAGACATATACCAACCCGAAATCCGCGTTTCCTGAAACTGTGGCAAAAAGGCAAGTTAAACTAAAACGAGCAAGCCAAAAAGGACGTGTGCTGGCTCCTGGAATTGAATGTCCCATAATCTCTGCCACACAAATTGGTAGAAAAGCGTTACTATAGGTGGGTATGTGGATGAATATGAGCGAATACTAACTGTAAATACGTGCGCATCGTACTCCATCATTCGATCTGATTTGATCTGAACGAGAGATGTGATAAAGATCCACTGCCAGGGATCGATGATATTCTGGACTTATTGACTGGCACGGAATGGTTCTCAACACTCGAACTTAAGACCGGTTATTGGCAAGTGGAAACAAGTAAAGCGGTAAATCCATACAAAGACTAACAATTTTCGAGAATCATTTGTCAGTACATCAACAAAAAACTCGACAAATTAGTTGTCATTGCTAATAGTAGTCTGAACGCAATCGAAAAAATCGCGTGTCGCGAAGATGCTCAACATCAAACAGGAACAGTACACAAAGCGGCAAGAGCAATACGAGCAAGCAAAAAAAATTTCGTTCACCATGTGCATTCAAGTCTTCGAGCTTTCGACGCGAATTTCCATGGAACTTCACCATAGCTGAAGTTAGCACATTAATAATAGCTGCTGATTTTTTTATGTCATTAGGGTACTATTAGTAAAAAGTTCGTTCGGGTTTTATCTAAGAGATGGCGTTATTGTCCAAAGTACTAGTGTTACGTGTCGCATCATGTCATACTATGCGGCGATGAAAATGTGTTTATTCGCGCTAAAAGTTTGTCTTTGACAGTTACTGTAAACGAACGTGTAGCACAAAATTGGTTTGTAAGGTTCCGTTCCGATAATTTCGATATCAAAGATAAGATGCAGACCGTCGCGTGAGCATTTATTTAATTGCTGAAGAACTAAAGATAAGCCTGAAAACCGCTTGGAACCATTTGGATAACCTTGGATTAAAAATTTATATTTGGGTGCCACACGAACTATCGCAAAAAAAAGATGACCCGGATTTCCATCTGCGAATCGCTGCTGAATCGCAACAAAATCGATCCGTTTCTGAAGCGAATTGTGACTGGCAATGCAAAATTGGTCACTTACGACAACATAAAGCGCAAACTGTCGTGGTCAAAGCTCGTGGAAGAGGCCCAGCCGGTGACTAAGACCGGATTGACGGCCAGGCTAAACGTTCAATTTGACCCTCTACTGCCAACAAATGCACCCACCTTGTAGTCCGGATCTGGCACCAAGTGATTACCATCTTTTTCTGTCCGTGGCGAACGCGCTTAATGGTGAGAAGTTGGCCTCAAGAGAGGCTTGTGAAAATTGGCTCTCCGAGTTTTTTGCCAATAGAGACGCAGCCTTCTACGAGAGGGGTATAATGAAGTTGGCATCTCGCAAAACCGAACGAACTTTTTACTGGACCTAATATTACCAAAATAGGCGGCACTAATAACCTTCACGTTGTGCCCCTAAGTAAAAGGTACCGTCAGTGCACACAAACAATTAAGCACTGCTCATAAAAATAAAATAAAATATACGTGAAAAACTAGAAATAACTAAGCGAATGCCTTTAGTGCAATCAGAAGAACATTTAAAACAAAAAAGAAAACACTAATAAACTCCAAATTAAATTATAGAATACAATATTAATAAATCATAAGTACAAACGGAAAAATAAACAAAAAGTTATCCAGCGAGTACAAAAACAAAAATGAGTGCGTCGCCGGTAAGCACGCCGGATCGAAGTCTCTCAAATGCCTTTTTTTCTTATTTCGAGCAAACAACGGCAAAAGAAAGCAGTTTGCAAGCAGAAGGCTCTCAGCAGTACTGAGCTAGCGCTAAACAGACGGTGAAGTGGGCAGAAGAACAAGAGAACAAAGGTAAGAGCAAGCAAATACCCAGTAGGAAATCGCCCACCAATACAAATAAAAAGGAACAGGCAAGCGGTAAGCCCAATGAAAAAAAGAACATAATAATACAGACAGGACTAAATCGATATATTAGGAAATCAAATCCTATTGGGCATATGCATTAATTCGAGCGGTTTTCTAAGAGAGGGTTCTGCTAGTATTATTTCGCGTCGTGTTCATCTGTGGGCTATATTCATTTCAAAGGTACTGTCATTTAGGCGTCGTTTCGTTCTCAGTAGATGCCAGCGTGAACAACAATTAGTTTTATTCATTTGAAAATTTCGAAATTTGTAAAGTGTGTGTAAAGTGTTTTTGCGGGGAGTTCTTCTTCATTAATTTAACATGAAAAAAGTGCTACCGAAAGTCATCGTATTTTACTCGACGTTTGTGGTGACCATACTTTAGCCGAACGAACGTGCCAAAAGTGGTTTCCTAGACGACGGACAGCCAATATAGTTAATAATATTACCAAAATAGTCGGCACTAATAACTTTCAAGTTGTGTCTTTAAAAAAAAGGTACCAGCGTCGAGTAATAAAAATTATTCCTCATATCAACTGAAGAGCTCGAAAGGACTAACCGTTGTAATTAAAGGTATCGAATACTCAGTCAAGTCAGATGAAGAAAATGGTTTCAGTACTAAATTGGTTATAAATATAGTTAATAGAAACAAAGTTCCCCCGCCCATGTTTAAGGTGGAACTAGACCCCGATTCAAGTCAGATAAAGAAAAACGAAACCCATCCCATATACAATTTAAAATATTTGCTACATCGTAGGGTAACAGTAGAAGAGCCACACAACATAAACGGCCCGGTGCAATGCACCAACTGCCAAGAATTCGGCCATACTAAATCCTACCGCACACTGCGCAATGTTTGCGTAGCATGAGGGGACTTATGCTGCAACTACCCAACGAGCGTACCAGCCGTCCATAGTAACCTATCTTATGAGAGCGCCATGTAAACACAAAGTTGTCACCGATTTACCATAGCGTTGCTGACGTTTGTGTCGCAGAAACCAACGAAGTTTTGATTTTTCCGTAAAACCGGCTCGGCTCATTTTTCGTTGCTATACAAGGTTGCCAGTATAGCCTTTCTTAAAGTAACATTAAATAATCGAAGATAATGCGTAGTTTTGTTCAAAAGAAATGAAAACTAAATGCGTAAATAATTATTTGTTACTATATAGATCATGTATATTTGCCTTGTGTTTATGTTAAAGCAAATAAATTATGAAATTCGTTGACGAAAATTATGAATTTGTTCAAAAGTGTGCAAACACACAGGCAGCTGGCAACATTTCGCCGCTCTCAGCGGCGTCGATAGCTCGTGTATGTATTTCACTACTAACGTCGTCAGTTATGGACGGCTGGTGAGTGAGTTGGGTAGTTGCAGCCTTACATCCCAAATGAATTATCTTATGCGAATGTACTGAAGAATAATTCAGATAATATTCCACAGAACCAATCTAATGGAGGTATAGAATCGATGATTTTAAACCTTACGCAGTGGATGACTCAGTTCATGTCAACTATGCAAAGCATGATCCAAGACTTGATTAAAGCACAGAATAACATGCTACAAATCTTCATGCAAAAAATGAGCATGCTAAATATTTGTTTATGGAATGCAAATGGTGCGAACCAACATAAATTAGAATTGGCACGATTCTGAACAGAGTATGCTATAGACGTAATGCTATTGTCTGAAACGTACTTGACGGATATATATAACTTTTATATACCTGGGTTCATATTCTATGCAACTAACCATCCTAATGGCAAAGCACACGGCGGCAATAATTCTAAGAAACCGCCTTAAACACAGCGTCGTACAGCCACCAATTATCTACAAGCTACTTCTGTAACTTTGAATAATTATGGCAAAAAGCTAGATCTCTCAGCCATTTACTGCCCTCCAAAATTTAAGATCACAGAAAATCAGTTTAAGGAATTTTTTGATAATCTTGGTGGTAGATTTATAGCAGGAGGATACTACAAAGCAAAGCATGTATACTGGGGATCCCGTCTAATAAACCTCAAAGGCCGTCAGCTATACAATACCATTATAAATAAGGGTAAAAATTTAGATTGTGTTTCCCCAGGTCAACCAACAAAAGCAACTTGTATCAGCTGTGACAGTTACTGGGTTGTCTTCAGACCACTTACCAGTTCTAATAAAATATTAAAAGACTAACTAACAGAGAAACCAACTGGCTAAAATACAAAAAATATACTAGTAGTCATATTAACATCAACCGAATATTGAATTGTGAAAAAGATATTGATGACTGCGTTAATAAGCTCAATAATGTTCCTGTTTTTGCGGCAACCATAGCAACTTCAAAAAGTAAAAAGCCTACTAAGGCCCAAAAATCCTAGCAAATACAGAAGTAGAAGAATTATTAAATAATAAGCGCCGTTTGCGGAGAGAATGGCAAGAGTTTCGCTCTCCAGCAGCAAAGTTACGGCAGAAGCAGCAGAGAGGAAGCTGAAAAGTGCACTAAAACCAACAGAAAATCTCAATGCCAAGGCATATATAGAAAAGCTAGTTAAAAATTCTGCCAAAAAATACTCACTCTGGAAAGCACAAAAGAAATTTAAGCCTCCAATAGAAATGAATATGCCAATCAGGGTCCCAAATGGTAACTATACACATAGTAACGAAGAAAAGACAAATTGCTTTGCAAAGCATTTAAGTAATGTATTCCAGCCAAATGACGCTACTAATAATTTTATTTTGCCGGAAATTGCTGTTAACGGCCAGGAAAATCAGGTGGCAATTATAATATCAAGCCTAGATACAGAAACTGAATCCAAAGAAATCTCCAGGCCACGACCTCATTGCATCAAAAATGCTAATATAGCTACTAAGAGTAGCACAAGCATTGCTCTCTGAACTCTTTAATGCCATTCTAAAACTAAATTACTTTCCAAACGCGTGGAGAAAGTGGCAGATATTAATGATAGCGACTTATTACAGACCAATAAGCCTACAACCAAGTCTTTCCAAATTATTTGAAAAAATTCTGCTACCAAAAATATCTACTTTTCTCCACCGTAGCATTGTGATACCAGATCACCAATTCGGCTTTCGTGTAAAACATAGTACTATTAACCGAATAACAAATGAAATCAGAAAGGCATTCGAGCTCAAGGAGTACTGTTGTGCAATCTTTCTTGACGTAGTAAAAGCGTTCGATAAAGTCCGGCACAGTCTGGCATAAAGGTTTGCTGTACAAAATACATAAAGATCTGCCTGTTCAATTTTATATGATACTTAAGTCATATCTGATTAACAGACAATTTATCAGTGAGGAGTATCCGGTAAAAGCTGGTGTTCAGCAGGGTAGCATCCTCGGGCCTATTTTATATATCACATACACTGCAGACAATTCGCTTAAATGGTATAAACACTCCCCAAGTAAATGATGTTACATATCTCGATATACAA